CGCTGGGCGTGGGCACGGCGTTCGGCGAGTCGATCCTGGACAACACGCCACGCCATGCCACCATCCTCACGCGCGAGCGTAGCGAGCTCCTGCGCATCGAGCAGAAGGACTTCAGGGCCCTTTGGGAGGTACGTGGCTCGCCGGTGGGGTGGTGGGGGGAGGGCATCGTGGCGGGGGTTGGGGGGGGGGGCGGCGGACGGGCCACGCGTCAACATCGAGTCCTATCATTTATGTCGTGTGTGTACGTTGAACTTCTTTCGCACCGCACGTAGCCGGCCGTGCTAATCGGAGGTGCGTGGGAAGGACGACAAACTAAGCACAAAAAGCAGTTTTGAAGAAGTGAGTTTCCAATCGAGATTTAAAAGTGCATCATAGCTCACAGTGGATTCCTGTTATCGGAAAGAAGAGCGTTCCAGACAGCCGCGGAAGGGCATCTGAAAGCGTGCAATCCAGTGACAGTCTTTGTTCGATGTTGAGCCAAAAGTCGCTGCGAAGATATTTTAGGCAGTAGTTGCCAGTTTAAGGTTTTTATTGCTCGATCTTGCGAATTTTTGGGTTTCCCTCGTGCCAATTTTTTCTATCGAAGTCACTAATTACATATATAGCGACTTTGTAGAATGAGGACACGGTGCAGATTTCGGAGTAATTGTAGGCGTGTATTTCAGTTTCTGTATCAATTTACGACATTTGCTACATTACTTAATAAATAGCCTAGTGACATAAAATGTTTTTTGAAGTTCCATATAGCAAAATCGTCGATTGACTTTATTAGGTTTGTTTGATGGTTTTCCAAAGTTGGAACGCTGGTGAAATTCAGAGACTTGCAAGTGCATTATGGGACATTGTGTGTTTTGTAAAAAGGAAAGTGGCGTATGTATTTTTCATTCTATCAAAGAAGATATTTTATTCTCACAGAAAGCAAAATGTACACCTTTGACGAATGACAGGACGAGAACCAAAACCAGACACGCGACGAAGCTGGAAGTGGTGGTGGTGGTGGCTGCAGTGCATGTACACGGCGCAGAGATGCAATTGCCCTGGCGTGACCGCTGTGGAAAGAGTGGCAGTGACAGGGGATGCATGGACCCCCGTGGCTGCAGCATGGCTGCGCATTCATGAGCCCCTCCGTTTTCACGGGTCCCAACTGTCACGCACCCAGCGGAGAAGATGCTCATCGGGTTGTGTTCGTGTCACTCAGGTTATTGGAAGGTGTTTCAATGTCCCGCGTCGATACGATATAGTATACCTTGAAACTGGTGTGTCGCTGCTACGAATGAGAAGTGAGAGGTATTACAACACATTCAGTTTTTTTAAGAATCAAAGGTGGGATTGCTGCTTTTCCACACACTTGGTGAGACACTGCCCACGTATACGGGACGACCCCCGACGTGAGTTATGTCTCAATCGTGCTTAGCGCACCAGCACGACCCTGTGGGGAGTGTGCTGAGCGGTAGTGTCGCGGTTAGCACTACGCTGCGCTACGAACCCAGACACCCCAGTTCCGATTCCCCTTCATGGCCAACACCGGTGACGATTATGTGAATCGGTCCTGGGCCTCCCCTAGGTCGACTCAGCCTGAAATGAGTACCGAGTGTGGTGTGTCAACATCGCCACTGGGGAGACAAAGGCGGTCGGGCGTGTCGCTGGCCACCCCACCCCCCTCGTGTGCTGTGCTGGCCTTCATAGGTGCTCGCTAACAGCACTTGCCCCAACAGTCTGTTACAGGCTACACGTTGACCAATGGTGTTGGTCAACGCTCGAGCAGCGGTTCTCCCAACCCGTGATCCGCGGATCCTCGGTGGTCCGCGAGGCGACTACAGGGTCGGGCGTCGGAGGGGGGGGGGGTCTGCGGAAAAGAAGAAACAAAAATAATAACATCCTCACCAAGGAAATATCAAATATCAAATAACTAGCGGTGGCGTGTGGTGGTCGGCAAAATGTGTGGAGGTTGAAAAGAGGTCCACACGCTCGACGAGGCTGGCAACCGCTGGACGAGACAAATCTATAATTCGGGGGGGGGGGGGGGGGGATTTGGGTTAAATCGCGTAAATCGACGCGATGTAACAAAACAAACACCCCCCCCCCCCCCCCCCCCCTGTAATATGGACGATATTGGTCGCGAAAGCGGTCAAAAAAACATCAACGACAGCCGCCGCTTGCCACTCGGCGACAGCGCGACGGTCACCGACTGCTCCCCGTGCCAGGCTGGGTGCACTTTGGAGGCCCCGTCGAGAAGAATCACGCAAGGCTCCGCTGGGCGTCCACGACTCGTGGGGACTCGGCGGGGCACGTGCGCGCGTGAGTCGGCGTCTTAGCCACCTGGTGGCGTCGGGCACACACCGAGGGGGGCGCCTGGCTCCCTCGCTCGGATCGGGCGGCGGGGGGCGCTTTGTCGGCTTTGGTGTTGACGCCAGATCAGAGCCCTCTCTATAGATGACGTGTGTATGCTCATATCGTACGGTTGGAATTTGGTTGGAAATCTCTCGGTGTTTCGTTTATAGATACGTGTATAGAAAAATATTTTTTTTTCATTCCCAGATATCCATTGGCTCTTTTATTTGAAGACGTGATTGAATAAATTGAATTCTTTCAAAGGAAATGCGTCGCTTGCCCTGAGGCTTTTGAAGTGAAATTTGAGCAACGGTTCTCATTCGGAGCGTACTACTATATAATTTTTTTTTAATGTCTTCAGAGTCTTAGTGTGAACTCAGTGTTGTATCTTTGACTATCAGTATACAACGCAGCTCATCTGACCTCGTGGCCTTTAACACTGAGTGACAATTGAGCTTTTTTGTGGGATTCTGAAGTTTGTTTTGCAGGTGTACGTGTGTTACAACCTGACTTTATTGTCTTAAGATAACATTCAAAGTGGTAATAAATACTGAGAAATAATCTTTCGACGTACCTTTAACAGGTTGCTTCGTTTCCTCACCGCTTAACGCAGCAAAATGATAAACACAGCTGCAGCGGCCACGCAGATTGTTTTTACCACTCTAGCAGAGGAGCAAACAATGGAGCGGAACTCGCTAAGCAGTGTGACTCGAGGGTGAAAACGTGAAGCCCTGAACTGGCCTCTGCGTCTCTTCGGTCGGCCAATGTTCGCGTTTCCCGTCAAGCTCTATCGGGGGCTGTTTTATAAAAGTGCAAGGTTAGCCTCAATCCGGTAAGGTGCGAGTGTGTGCGATCTTGTGTGTGTGCGCCTAGTAGGCGTTTTATGGGGACTTTATGCTAAACGGTGTAAAATATTTAGGGTGTGGGAATCCGCAGCGGTATCCTTATCTCAAGCGGTGCACAGCCCCAGGTGGCACTGAGAAATCTCGTGATTTCCGTCAGGAAATCTGTTCTCAACTGTGGTGTGGATAGTGCTTACTTGGTCAGACGTAGTGCAACATGCTGCTGTTACTTTTTTTTCTTCTCCCTAATGCTTTACAACGAACGTTGAAGAGTGTATGCATGAGCTCTGTCCGTCTGTAGGGGGGCGGGGGGCACGATTACAATCATAAAGATGATCCAATATCAGGAGGAAGACTTTAGTATCAAGTTGTGTTGCCAGTAGGGACTTAACTCGATTCAAATCCAGCCAAATCGGGCTGCCTAAAGGGTGGCCCAAAGCTTAGAGGCGGAAACCGACGTGGAAAGGATTTTGCCAAGGGAGCGCTAAAAGGAAGCGCGCCTCGCCTCCCATCTCCCTCCACTCCCGATTATGTCACGTGCCATGCGACATGACCGCCTTGTTCTACTTGACACGTAATGGTTCATAATGCGTTACAGACTCCAAACGCGTGCAAGATTTGTTTTATTCCTTTGTTATTTTTGCACGTTCATTCCTGCGTTCAGGTTTTGGGTGAGTGTGCCTCACGTGGCAGTTGAGGGGCTCCTGTTATTTGGCATTGTTTGGATGATGCGCATGTTTTTGCCTGATGTTGCAATATCGTGTTGCGCTCCATCATGCACCGTTTCGTTCACGTGCGGGTTTCCGGCGATGACCCAAAAGGTCAGTCCGAGGAGCCACCTGCACTGTAGACGTCCCCGCACCTTACAAGTCCCTCCGTGGTCTCACCTTCTCCCCTGCCACCACCTCCCCCCTACCTGAGTAACCTATTGAAACCATACAGTCCTGCTTGCCCTCTTTGCTTGCCCAACTCTGGCCTCCTCCTCACCTCTCGCCCTCTCCGGCTGACTATCGGTGGCCTTCTCGTTCAGACACTGCGCTCCCACCCTCTGGAACTCAGTCCCCACTCATCCTCGGCTCTTCTCCTCGCTTCCAACATTAAATTCACAACTCAAAACTCGTCTCTTTGACCGCGATTTCCACCCTGTATAGTTTGACCTTTGTCCCGCTCAGTATCCGATGCGTACTCTCCCCGTCGTTGCTGTGCTTTGAGACGTATGGTTACGTGATTTAGCGCCTTGTAAATGCAAGTTGTTGTTGTTATTGTTGCTGTACCGTGGATGTCCCAGGAGTCTCGCACATCAGCTGCCGGCCCGTTTCACAGTGTCTGTCGATTGTATAATTGGCGGTGTTGGCAGGAGGGTTAAACCGCTATGGATTACCTTGCAGGTAATGGTGCAAATCATGTAAATCCATTTCCACGTTTAGGTGGGAACACCTACCTTTTTTTCCGGACGGCTTTGCCAATTTCATGTCTGTATGCGCACAGACATACAGTGTCAGAAGATTACGCGAGGCCACTGCTGTGTTGTGCGCTCGCTTGCTCGCACGCATTGTGTGTGATTTGGCGGGGGGGGGGGGGGGGGCGCGAGTGTTTCCTCCACACTTGCCAAAGTAAACTTCCTCGAGCTTGGAAGCGGGGTGGTGGCAGGCCCTGCTTCGGGCCGGATGAGCCCTTACTATATACTTCACCGCGTGGCCGCGAGGCTTCCAGACGCAGGTCCCCACGCGATCAGCGCCGGTGTTCGTCCACAGAGCGCGCGGCAAGACGAACCTCTCTCCATGTTGCGCTGCCTGTCCGAGCTTCTGGCCGTGAGTAGCCACTCCCGCCTTCAAGGGCGGCTTGAGCGACGACGATCGCACGCCAAACTTCGGGTGGAAACCTCAGATCATTTTTTTTGTTAAACGTTCGATAAGTGACCAGAGTAACGATACGTGAGGACGTTTTGAAGGGCCCAAATGTATCGCAAAGGCCGTTTCCCCTGGCTCAGAATTGTTCTGTGATTCTACAGCGGAAAGGTTGCGCGCAATATTCCAGATTTTATCCGATATATGATTGCGGTCTTTAGTAGTTTAATAGATAACACGAATGTTTTTTTTGTTGTTGCACTAAATGACTTACTGAAACAGCGGCTAAGGTTTCCGCTTTGTAGAGATTGTAACTTTAAAGTTGCAGGTCACGAGTTGCTACTCGATAATCATGAATCCATCATATACATATATACACCGTATTTGAATCGTGTTTTATAGCGAATCAGAAAACTGTGCTGATGGAACGTGTATGTACACCATGTGCTGTAATCATATGAAACAGATTTTATACTTTAATCCAGTGCTTAGCATTTGAACTCTGTTATAAAACCCGCCGTGACATAAAACCTAGCAGGACAAAACAACTGGGTGATCGGGTCAATGGTTGGCTTATGCAACGGATGCCAATGCATATTCCGTGTACCAGATTTCACATCGCATAGCCATGGCTGCTTGCATGTGGCCTTGTATTAAAAATACTGATTTCCCTGAGGATTGTGATGGTGCATTCAGCAAGGAGTGGTGCTAATGTTGCAGATTATTATCCTTGTACAGCTCAGAAGAGAAGGCATGCCTTTCTCAAAATAAATGCCTTAAGGTGGTGCAAAAGGGCAGTGAGAAACGATATCATTAAATGTAAAAGGAAATCAGGGGCAAGTATGGGGTACGCATTTTGTACAAATAAAGAAAGACGGCATTTACTTCGCAGCACAATTTTAAACAAAATATATTCAAGAATGATGACCTGTTTAACAAATCGGGAATAATTATTTTAGAGTAATGGTTATGCAATAAATGAGCTCCCCAGTGTAGGCAACGTGTGTGCTGTTTGAACGTTATATAACACGCCATCGTACAGAGGTTTTTTTTTTAATCGAACACCCCTTTGTTTACCAAGTCCAAATCACAGCAGCTAGAGCCAAACACCACGGCTATACAATTGAACGCATTTGCAATGTTTGTCTTTTCATTTGAACGACCAATAAGACGTTATGCCACCTGTGTCATTTTTATTTCGCACGAATAAATTCCTGGTGAAACTCAACCTCGCAAATTTCGGAATGGGAGGTCATTTGTAACATCAGGGCCGGCTTTAAATGGGGTGGGTGGGGGGAGCCTGCACCATCCAAATGTTGTCTCTCTCTGGCCCACCAAGTGCCCTCTCCTGAGCGGTGAATCGCTGTCACAGTGGATCACATGGGCAGCTCTAACTGGATCCTCCCATGCCGGAGAAGCCCGAACGGGGCCTAAGTGACGTGCGCTTGCGTTGCGCTTTGTTGAGGGAGACGGCGGAGAACGGGTTCGGGTATGAAGGGCGCAATCCACAAAGCTCCTTCATGGCTGCCACCACGCGACTCATACCGGGCCCGTGGAAGATGGGCGGTGTAAATGAGCCGAGAGGCCAATGTGTGTGTTTTGGACTTCTTTCGCACCGTACGTAACCAACCGTGCTAATCGAAGGTGCGGGGGGGGGGGGATACAACAGACTAAACACAAAAATCAGTTCTAAAGAAATGAGTTTTCGATCTATATTCAAAAGTGCATCGCTCCAAGTAGCTTCCTACTGCTCACACCAGGACTCCTCCCTCGCTCCTGCGTTTTGGAAGCTCATGGTGAGCGTAACCGACATTGATAATTATTGAGGGGATGCAGGCAATGATATTTAGGATGGACAAAAACTAAATTCCAGGAGAGAATACATCCAAAGTGTACGTCAGCTTCGTGCCTTTGTGGAGTTGCGTGGGCGTCTTGAGTTGCTCACTCCTTCGTTGCTATTGCCCTTCAGTGACAGAATCCGAGGGGCGATAGGGGGCACCACTGCCCCCTCCCCCACCATTGAGACCACAAAAATTGGTATTTTATTGATAGTTACCGGAGAAAATACTTTGTATATATAAAACGTAGGGCTCTATTTATAAATCTTGAAATATCACGACCTCCCTCCCTTCTACTTCCCTCTGCCCGCTTAGGAAGGTTTCTAGATTCGTCTCCGGTTGCCTCCTTGCCGGGATTATTGCGCAGCAATAACCTCGACTCTTGAGTGACCCCAGGGGGGAGTGCACGGGGCGTGGCTGTCCCCCGTTTCCTGCGCTGCCTGTTCCCTTTCTGCACGCCTTAATAAGCATCCTGCCAATTGTTCTGCGGTAAAATGTCAACTCGGCACAATCACCCGCAGTCGGGAAGTCACATGTGGCCCTCAGTCTTAAGTGAACTTTAAATCTGCAGGCCAGAAACTTTTTTGAGCACACGAATTGGGTTGCCACCTTTCCGGGCTTGAACCCGGACAGTCTGGGATTTGGCAGCTATCCGCGTTGGGGTGGTAGGCATTGCTTGTACCGATATTCGGTACGGGCGTTGTGTTGGAACTTTTATTATGGTACAATGCACCGTTTTAATGGACCTCCGCTGACTGAGAGACATGTCTGGATCTGGTCTCGCAGTGGAAAGGTGGTGACTCCTACACTTGCAGGAGGAGCAAGATAATGCACTGTGCTTAAAATAACAACAATAATATGTGTGCTTATAATTCACAAGGCAGTGCCTGCAGTAATCCAGTAGCCACATCAACTTGTAGCGTATGGCACGAGCCACTGACTTGTGTTTGTACATTCCAGGTTTCATAGTTCTGGGATAAAAACCACCCTCATCAATTTATTATCGTGTGCTGTATCGTGTGCTACATCATGTATTTTTTTTTTGCCCACACACAGGCAACATTTTACATTGAAATAGAGGTCATCGCTGATGGATGTGTTAAAGTGAACTTTAAGAAAAGCCCCTTCGAGTGCATTTCTGTTTTGGCGACGTACCCTTCGCGTTCCGTCCCTGTCTCTTAATGGCTTCATAATTTATCAAGTGGAATGAACGAAAGGAATCCTTTACAGAATTTGCGCTCTTTGTCATGCGAAACGTACTGCAGATACGCACTGTATAAGATTAAATCTCCCAACGATCCCATTACGCACTCTCCCGCTGTGGTGCACTGTCTATCGGAGATTCGGCGCGATAGTGCGATGGAGTGTCGAGTTAATTTGTTTTCAAAATCGCATTACGCAATCCGCGTTAGTGGGAACAGTTCCCAGAAAAATAACCCCATTGTCCGGGAGACGTCCACCGGGGGCCTCTTCTTTGGAAATGGGTGCACGTGCACAGGGAAGAAGAGGTAAGCGGCTCTCGCATTGTTAAATGTTGCTCTGGGTTTACTCTCCAACGCACCCGGTGTGCTGAAGTAGCAACTGACTTGGCACGTTTTGTTTTTACGTGACAAACCTTACCCAATTGGCTGTGTCGGGTGGTGGTGGGTTTACAACACATTTATATTTACACGATCTGATCCCCCACCAAAGAACCCTTTTGAATGGAATACGTGGCTCTCGTTCTACACACGGCCTAAGATACCCATTGTACGGTTGGAGGGGGTGGGGGGTGATTATTTGAACGTACTTCACCAAGCATGTGAGTGCGGGAAGCAAATGCGTGGACCATAGATAGTAAAATGCAACAATGGGGTTTTATGTTTTTCCCCCCCTCTGCCCACTGAGTAGACCTGCAGCCAGTTAACACACCCTGCTTGTGTATGGTGGTCACCCATCCAAGCACTATCCGGGCCTGGTGCCACTGTGCTTAGTTTCTGAGGCCCGACTAGATTTGGGCACAATTGGAATTATCTGGTTACAGGCTGTACAGAATAAACACTATATGCCGATCACTGGGATGCAAAGTAAACACTTGGAGGTGTTGTCTGAGGAATTAATTAAAACCAAAAGCGTCTCTTCCATAACACCGTGAAAAGCGACGATTTTACATATGCCTACAACGTTTGATCAAAGTGGTAACGTGGCTCAAACAATTAAGCAAATGCACCGTGGCGCTGTCAAGTTGCTCCTGCTGCTGCTACCTCACCGAACACTGACAGCAGCCATGGATTATTAAATGAGACTGCTTCCTATTTTTTTGGACACGTGCTATCAGGACGGCGGGATGGAGCAGTGGCGCAATGGTTAGCACACGAGGCAATGGACCCGTGTGATCTGGGTTAAATTTGCTGGCCACGGCTAAGATCAGGTGCGAGTGATATACGAACTGGCCCTGAGCTCCCATGACCAACCCACAGAGATGGCCAGATGACACCTATAGCATCAACGACTACCACTGGGAGGCCTTCAGGCAGCGTTAGATTGAACAAGGGACCATACGTTTCAAAGTTTACTCTGATAACCGCTGTGTCTAGGAACTGTGTGGCCTGAATTTGTTCCCACAGCTGCACCTAGACAAAAAAAAACATAAACTATGAACTCACAGCTGTGGGGTGTGTAATCTGGTGGTAAGGTATTGTCCTTTTGTTTTTTGGAATTGTGCTGTTAATTGTACCAAATTTCCTGCCTCTGAATGCCATAAACTGCTACCCTCGGCTATAGAAAACAAATACACATATACAATGTGTAAGTTACTGATTGCATGAATTTTGATATTTAGAACAATGTAATACTGTAAGGTTATACGATACCGTAATGTATTTTGACGTCCGTTGACCAGAGGAATCGGTGTACACATGGAGGCTGCATGCTGCGTCGATGGCTAACACGTTGTTAGCGCTGGGTTTTTATACGAATGACGACACAGGTGCTCGTTCTTCGTTGCTAAAAATGCGGTGACGGTGACAATGTCACCAGACTCGGCTATCACGAGGATGAGAGATCTGCTGAGCAAGCTCCTGACTGGCGTCCCGACTATGCTTAAAGCGATGTCTACATCCTGGCCCTATGAACGTTGTTCTTCATTTAGTTTAGTCAACTTTTCCGCCTTACGCATGCGATTAACTATTCTGGGTTTTTTTAAAAATCTCTTCTCAATACACCGATGTAACAATTTGGCAAAAAGCACCACCCCTTTCCCGACTCACCTTCTGACATGAGTGCATGAGCCAAACCAAAAAAATTGTACCACCTAAGGTAGCAAAAACTTTAACAAATGCTGATTTATTTCTATGGTGAATTATTTGATAACCCGCTAATTTCAAGTTGTTTTCACTGAATAAACTATTATCGGCGGCATAGAAAAATCGGAATCGCTAAAGTTATTTCACCTGAGGTGACGTAATAATGCTTTCGTGATAGCTTTGGTTATTGCATCACTTTCTACCGAGTCAAATGCCTTGTCATCCATTGTCTACAGAGGCGAGGCATAATGGCATTTTATGTTCATATATTTTTATTTATTGACTCTGATTGCAAGTTTGTACGTGATCAATTGTAGAAAAAGCTTCACTTTAACCCTGCATACTCCCTTTGGTGGTTGGCCTCGAAAGTTACCATTACGCTATTCCCGAAGATAAAGATCTGCGTGACAAATGTATACATGTGCGATAAGCGATAACCGCCTACTAATGGGTCTGTTAATTCTTCGAATTAGTTTCCTCTGAATATTTGAATAGAAGAATGATTCGGGGCATGTTTACGTGAATGAGGTATGTTATTTGTGTGTAAACATTGAGTAAATAGGTTCACTACTATTGTACTATGGCTGGTCCAAATTCTTCGATGATGTCCACAGTTTTGCCATCTGGGCCATAGGCAGAGTGTGCTTCTTCAAATTCCCCTTTTTCATCTGAAAAGCAGTTCATTCCTGGGATATATATACTGTATTATCCTTCCACAAATGTTAAAAGTTCTATGTGTTACATGTGTTATGGTTTTATATTTCTACCAGTTCCCATCTGTGAATTGCCAAGCATTAAACTCCTTTTGCTGATTTCCTGCTCCCACAGCCCGGAATAATGTCATCAATCATGTTTGCCCTGTTCTCTGATTTATTTCTCATTATCTTCCCAACAATTTTACAGAGTTCTGTTTTTTTTTCTATCTATTGTTGAGAATGTTTGCCTATTTTCATATCGCTGGCATTGTTCAATGCCTGTTGTTGTTCTAGATAACTTGATTTCGATTGGCTTAAATTTTGATTTAAAGCTTTCGTGACTGCAGGGATTCATATTCTTGGTTCTTTCGATAAAGTCACGTAGAAGGGAAAGAATAAAATAATAAAAATATAAAACAATAAAATTATCACGACGTTTCGACGGCAACACAAGCAATCATCATCAGGTGTGAAAACCACAGCAAGAAAATTTGAAAAAAGTGGCGGTGTTTCTTTTCAAATTATCTTGCTGTGGTTTTCACACCTGATGATGATTGCTTGTGTTGCAGTCGAAACGTCGTGAGAATTTTATTGTTTTATATTTTTATTATTTTATTGTTTCCCTTCTGTTTGCATGTTCATCTCCCCCCAAATATTCAACGCACAATCCATCACTATACTGTACTAAGCATTCCATCCATTTCCTCATTTTGCTTCTCGAGACAATTATAATCTGTTGCTTAGACTTCGTCTAAATCTTGCTGTCTCTTGACCTAGATTTTGATGCTATCTTTCTTGCTATCTTTCTTGCCCTTAATTAGCCAACGTTATTTACAGAGAGAAGCTTTTACAAAAAAAATTGGATTGGAGCAATGAAAACATGAACATAAATGCAGCAACTATTGACACAATTTCAGATTTTCTGAGAACTGCTCGTGCAAAATGAATTTCAGGACGTGATCGAAGATGGACCGGGATAAATGACGAAATACAGTTGCCTCAAGCAGAGCAGGTTAGAATCGGTGTGTATTACCAGCTATGACGTAGAGATTTGAAACATGAGCTTTGATTTAAAAAAAAACACGTGGAAAGAAAGCTGGAAAACAGCGCGCAACGTAACATATACGCGGCACGCTTGCGATTGCGCTGAGGGACAAAAGAGGAATACCATGAGGACACGTGCAAGTTCGGGACGTCACGGTGACTGCTGAGTTAAAGTAAAGTGGGCCTGTGGCAGGAGGCATCGCTCGACGGGAGTATGGATGATGTTGGAGGCTAACAACGGTACTGGCAGTCGAGGGAGCAGACCCGCTCACGAGTGTCTCCTGCCCCGTGGAAATGGGAGAGTCGAGAGATGGGGCCCTGCGAGCAGGAGAGAGGCTGTCGCGTCGTGACACCGTGAATGTTGGCGATGGGTCGAGGAGACTGATGATGGTAGTTTGATTTAATTAACCACCATAGCAGGGTGATCTGACGCGCATTTCACACCGATACGTTGGCGCAAAGGTCTCCTGCTGCTTCCATCAGGGGGCAATGTCGTGCGAGGGATAAGCACACGCGCATTTGATGCTGAACATTAATCTGCGAAAATTACAGAACGAATAAATACACGGCGACGCATGCTGGCTGTTAACTTACGTGTTTACGTGTTTTATGATGCAGCCTGCACATTGCCAGAGTGTCATCATAACACCGTGCCCGAACTGGAGAACTATGTCCGGTGCACAGAGCTCACACCGCACGCACCACACTCGACAAGCCGCAGCGCTGAGCTTAATGATGGAGCCTTCGTGAGCATCGGTGTGAATGCACGCATTGACCCTGCGCTGAGGAAAAACAGATTGAGGGCGAACATGTCCAGAAGCTCTGCTAAGGGTTTCTTAAGTATAATTTCCCTGGAAATATTAGAAATTGGGAACATGCCTGCTTCATTGTAATTGAATTTGTGGCACGCTAATAGCGATGAAAAAGCATTTGCCCTTGACATGTTACTAGACTCATTGGGCCACGTTCGAGGGCAGTAATGGCTGTTTTCATACAGCAGACTATAAATAGAATGACTTGTCTCAGTCAATTAGTGTCAAGGTACGCCGCAATGTGCATATGGGCGTCTACTACGCGGTTTCTCATACATAAAGGATGTGCATTGTGAACACGGTTGAACAAGACAAACTCAGGGGTAAAATGTTATTGCCACCCCATTTCAGATTTGGCCTTTCGCGTGTGTCGCCGACTCGCGAGATAGGGCCAAGCTTTGGGCGTCAAGGATGATTGATAATTACCAGTGAATGACGTGCAGTGATTACGAATGCCAATAAAAGAAGTAATCTTTGTGGTTAGATTGACTATTCATGCTGCTCTGACACTTAAGAGAGCAATCTTCATTATCCGAAAAATTATGAACGATTCAGACTCAGATCATCCCACATGCACGGGAATGTCAACGTGATATGTTGCTGCGTGTCTTGCTTTTTTTAAAGTCAATAATTAGTGGTCCGTGTAAATGCAAAACAAACGCCGTGAACAGGT